TGCGATTTTTGCGATATTTGTGGACATTTCGGGGCCCTTCTTGGCTTCTTTGCTTTCTAAGTCTTGAATGTTGTTAGATTTGTTATTTTTGCGATTTTTGCGATATTTGTCACGGATGTTTTCAGCTAGCAAGAAAAATCCTTGTTACTTTTGCGATTTTTGCGACATTTGTGGACTCACTCATTGAGCTTGCCCAACTAATCCAATACTTCAAACAAATCCGCATACAATTCTCTTACAGTTTCTCTAACAAGTCTACGAAATTCTGACAGGGCATGTATATAGTGCCAATAAGCAAAATCATGGTAATAATCAATAGTTAATTTGGTGCTACTTAAGCGTTCACCATGAGCACATGCAAACGAGGCTTCACAGGTATTGGCCCATTTTACATATGGACAGATAAGTCTTTGCTTTAATTCAGTTAAACACAATCTAGAAAGAACAAACATAAACATGCAATTTGCTTACAGTTTCTCTAATTTGTATTAAGTTAAGCAAAAATTGTGCAGAAAGGCAAAGTTTCTCGAAATGAGAGCCATTCCATTGAAAAAGGATAAGTTTAAATAAAATACATACTACAAAACACACTTTTGTATATATAACAAGCGTATTGAAAAATACGTTTTTTACAAGATATCATTAAAAGTTTAAGTGTTGGCGCCAACAACTAAAATACAAAGTTCTAATAGAACGCGCCTCATGATTTTTATCAACAAATTTTCCTTGTCATTTTAAACGAACACCGTCAAGAGTAAGTCGTGCTTTGATTCTTTTACATTGAAGACACTCAAAGTTCCCGTAGAAAACAGGAACCCATTTTGTTTGCAGACAGTAGAAAAGTATTCTACGTTGCTTCAATTGGTTAATAACATGTCTACAATATAAAAACATGCGTGTTTAAAAATACGTTTTTCAAACTAAACTTATCGTATACACTTTGCTCTCGACACTTAACCAGTGATAAACTTTGATCCAAAACAGGCATTCCAATATTTGTCTAAAAAAAACACAAAAAAAAAATTTCCAGAAACCAAAATTCTTTGAGTACATACCTAAACTGGTGACGGTGCTCTTGGCGAAATTTGCTCCTCTGTTCTTCATAGTTGATTGCTTCTAAGGCCACGGCGAGCAGATGGTGTGGTGGAAGGTATTTTCTGGCCATTGCGGCTGGGTGCGGAACAGCTTTCAGCACCAGGTTTTCTAAGGTCTCCATCACTAGCAGATTCTTGAGCTCTTGCTATCGCAACGTTCGTGAAGCGACTGATGAAACAACGACTGAGAACATTTCGCTTAAGTAAGAGACCCTAAGCTCTGATTGGTGCGGTTTGAGGGCGACCTATGATTGGAGCGGCTGTAGGTAGGATTAATGAGTGGCAGATTCGAAGCGGCTTTTAACGCTAATTACTTCCTGGTAATAACTTCGCTGTCTTTTAATAACTGTCTATTTCAAGTTTGCGACAGCCACCTTTTAAAATGACTGGAAAAATTTTTCATTTTCAACCATGGCAGTCTCGTTTGAGACATGTGATACGGTCCTGACACAGGAGCAAGCACATCACAGATCACAGAGGGATTGAAACGTATGATTGTATTCAAGCAGACTCGTGGCTTTAGGTATGAGGCGGTAGGTGGTAGTTTGACTAGCCGACAAGAGTTTCAATAACTGTAAAGCACCGCTAGTTTAATTACCTTTGGAAAGAACAGTATAAACTTTGCAGGGCTCAACTCGGATCGTTCAAGTAAATATTCAAACTTATAAAACTCATGTGTGCATGAAAAACATTTTCCAAATGTATAGTAAAACCTTGGCGTGAGAGAAAAAATCTTTTTTCAGACTCGCGCCTTTAGGTACGAGGCGGTCGGCAGTAGTTTGACTAGCCGACAAGAGTTTGAATAGCTGTAAAGCACCGCTAGTTTAATTACCTTTGGAAAGAACAGTATAAACTTTGCAGGGTTCAACTCGGATCATTCAACGGTGAAAAAGCTTGCAGACACCTACCACTGATGTCAGCGTATTAAACATGCCCATGCAGCTGCCCACCATGCAGCCATTCATGCAGCTGCTCATGTAGCCATTCATGCAGCTGCCCATGCAGCCATTCATGCAGTGCCCATACAGCCATTCATACAGCTGTCCATGTAGCCATTCATGCAGCCGCTCATGCAGCCATTCATGCAGCCGCCCATACAGCTGCCCATGCAGCTGTTCATGTAGCCGCCCATGCAACGATTCACGCAGCTGCCTATGCGCCCATTCATGCAGCCGCCCATACAGCCATTCATGCAGCCACCCGTACAGCCATTCATGCAGCTGCCCATTCAGCCATTCATGCAGCAGCCCACCATGAAGCCGCCCGTACAGTTTATCTTTGAGATTCCACCAGCCCTTTACAATTCTTTGACTACATGGTGGCCATATGTCACAATGACCAATCACTCCTTGACAACATGGTGGCGATGTGTCGCACTGACAAATAGCTCCATGTGTAATGGCGAATTTTTGTAAAAATCTTAGTCTCTGCAAAATCATTTGTTGCGGCAACAAGAGTGAATTTGTGCAACTCATGAGGAGCTTTGCTCAAGAAATAAAATTCACCAGGTGCCATAAATTAATGCACTGGTACGTGATACAAAGGTGTTTGCTTGGTGTCATAAAATTAATTAACACCGGAACATAATAAGTAAACCAGATGCCACGTATCCGCGAGAGAGACAACCCATGCACGGTAAAAAAAGCCTCTATCCAAGAATGCCAACAAGAAAGTTCCGTGAGAGCAGTGGAGTAGCTTCTCAAGCACAGTTTGTAAGAAGGCCTTCAACTGTCCTTGGCTGCTAATAGTCCATTTTCGAATACACACGCGTCCATTTAAGTGCGGATTTTGTGGGAAAGGCTTCAGCCATGTCTGGATCCTAAAAAGCAAGATTCGAAGGCACACGTGAAAAGCCCTTTCGATGTCAAACATGTGGAGGACCATTTGCTGAGCACTCAAATTTGAGACAGCATTCTTCTTTTTCTGTAATGCTTTAATGATTTGTCCAATTACTATTCTGCAGTTATACTACTACCACATGGCAGAAACTCATTTCTGTTATTCTAAGCAACATGATGTCACTTCATGTATTTCACATTTTGGGTAACCTATTAGAACATTTATTTGTTAGAAGAGTTTGGTTACATCTTCTGTGATTCGATTACTAACGTTCAAGTTTCACTCCTAGATTTGGTTCCAAAACTGGCAGAAAAGCTTAAACAACATGCTTTTTACGGACATCACAAACACCCGGATGCATCCCTTCAGGTCATCACTGACATTTACCCACTGTCCTTTCTTACCACTCTTTTGACAAAAATGGCCTTGCATTCATTAAACTCCCCCAAAGAACAGTTTCAGGCCTCCAGGATCATGTTCCAGGATCAGTACATAGCCGATGAATCTTCAGTTGCACATACCTTGTCCAGTGCTTTTCATTAACATACTCATTTTTTTACGTCCGTTAAGAATAGTTTTTCAGTGCAAGAAGTTCACACTAGGCAACAAGTTGCAGGAACAAGTTGCGGCAAAATGTCACAGCCACTTATCACTCCATCTGTAATGGCCCATTTTTATAAAAATTTTGTCCTCGCAACAAGACTGAATTTGTGCGACTTGTTTGGTTATGTCTCGTGTGATTCCTTTACCAAGGTTTTAGTTTCAATCCCAGGTTTGTTTCCAAAACTGGCATGCCAGGGGGCAGAAAAGCTTACAAAATATGCCTTCAAAAGATGTCCCAAACACACCGATACATCCGCCCATGCATCCCTTCAGATCATCCCTTCAAATCAGCCCTTACATGCAACCTAACGGTCGTCCAAAAACAAAAAAACAAAATTGTGAACATATTAACAAAGTTGGTTCCAAAAACAGCAAGCCAGGTGGCGGAAAAGCTTAAACAATAAGCCTTCCACGGATGTCACAAACATGCAAATGCATCCTTTTAGATTATCCCTGACATTTACGCACACTCCTTTCTTACCATTCTTTGACAACATGGCCTTACATTTATTTAACTCCTCTGAAGAACACTTCCAGGCCTCCAGGATCATGTTTCAGAATCAGTACTGAGCCGATGAATTTTCAGTTGCACATACCCTGGCCAGTGGTTTTCATTAACATGTTCATTATTTAAAACGCAAAAAGGCCAGATACAAATTATATAGACCTTGCTTTATTTCATGTTCTGCACACGTTCTTTAAATGGTATAAAATCGACTACAAACTTTGTAAACATCTTTCAACATCTCAGATAATATGCTTTTGCAACACTTATACAAGTTTTCTTGTTGCTGTAGTTTTTGTCATATGTCTTAGAATGATTATCACTATAATTGTCATTAATATTTTTCCTTCCTTATCTTTTTTTTTTATAAAATATGTCATATATAATAATATCTGACCTTTGACAATTCCTCTGATCATTTTCTGTTACCTTTTTGTTATTATTGATTTTAACAAATGCAATTTTTTCTCCCTTTAGTATGCTATGGCCAACAACTCCAACTTTTATGCGCTGGCATTGCACCTCCCTAATTGATTAAAAAGTTTAGTAAGCCTTTTTCTTGTGCCCCATCTCTTTTACTGGTTGCCTATGCAACTCTTAATAGTTTCTGGTTACTTTGTCTTTTCCTCTGAAATGCTTTAACGATTTAACGATTACTATTCCACGGTTATACTACTATCACATAAAAGAAACTGATTTTTATTACTTTAAGCAACATGATGTTATTTTTGTATTTCGCATTTTGGGTAACCTATCAGTGCATTTCATTGTTAGAAGAGGTTAGTTATGTCTTGTGTGATTCCTTTATTAACGTTTTATTTTCAATCCCAGATTTGGTTCAAAAACTGGCGTTGCAGATGGCGCAAAAACATGCGAACCCCTACCTATGACACACCTATGCAGCCACTCAAACAGCCACCCGAGGAGCAATTATTCATACAGCCCACTATGCAACAGCTAATGCAGCAGCACAATATGCAACGGCTAATACAGCAGCCCATGCAGCCGCTAACGGACCAAATCATGCAGCAGCCCGCTATACAACAGCTAATTCAAGTCATGCAGCAGCCCATGCAGCCGCCAACGGACCAAATCATGCAGCAGCCCGCTATGGAACAGCTAATTCAAGTCATGCAGCAGCCCATGCAGCCGCCAACGGACCAAATCATGCAGCAGCCCACTATGCAACAGCTAATTCAAGTCATGCAGCAGCCCATGCAGCCGCCAACGGACCAAGTCATGCAGCAGCCCACTATGCAACAGCTAATTTCATTGATCGTTAACGAATAAAGAAGGAAATTTTCTTTCTCAGTTTTACTTAAAATATGCCCAATACAATAGAGACAGTACCTACACTCCTTTTTTCCATAAGAACATATTTTATAATAATATTGAGGCTGAAATATTTAAAATTTTAAGAATTTTTAAGAATAAACCGCTGAGGCTGAAGTTTCCTCATACAGGAAATGCTCGATTGCATTGTTTATAGTAGCTTCGATGTCCGCGTGATTCGATAACAGATGTCTCTCTCCTTCCATATCGCATTCCTCATCAAGGTCACCAGTGCTCAAGTGTTAACAGAAGGTGTCATAATTGACCAATGAGAGGGTATACTGGAATCCAGTATACCGGAACGACCCTTTCTTAACAATGTTTACAGGCGTTCTCTCGCTCTGCACCCCCCTTTCCTGTTTTCCCGGTGTACAACTTAACTTGCCCCCCATTTACCGCCACGCTCTACTATCTGAAGGCCTGGAACAGGCTAGGTTGTTTTACGGCTTATAGTCGTTGAACAGTCGTAATTCGGCTTCATATAAAAATCCCCTGAAGAGTGAGCGATCACGAAACAGGCTTGTGGGGATAAAAGTGTAGTTTTTTCCTACTTCCAATATTTATATCACGCTCTACTTTAACGTATCGAGCACTCTACTACGGTAAAATCGAAACACAGACTTCCTGTATATATATATATTATCGATTGGTTTCTAAGGGGGCTGTTAGTTTTCGTAATAACGAAAACTAAGAGGGGTCTTTCATTCAGTTTCTCATTTATACTTTTTTCCAGTTTAATTACCCTTGCTGAATAGGGATAAGAGCCTGGACCTATAGTGTACCACCAATTTACAATCCTCTCTTTGGGATTCGTGACTCCCGTCATGCAACCTATTCACCTCACATGACAACACTGATGAAGTTTGAGAGATTCAGATGAAATATTTGTTTTGTTCCTTTTGCTCCGAGCTTTGGAACTTTCTGTACTTAAAGTTTATTTACAATTATCATAGACCTTGCTTTATTTCATGTTCTGCACACCTTCTTTAACTGATATCGTATGGAATACAAAATCAAGTACCCCCTTTGCGAGTCAATTTTTTGCCTCATCTCGTTAACTGGTAGCCTATGCAACTCTTAATAGGTCTGGTTATTTTGTATTCTCTTCTGAAATACCTTAATGATTTGACCTGAATTACTATTCCGCAGTTATACTTCTATCATATGGCAGAAACTGATTTTTATCATTCTAAGCAACATGTTATTGTTTGTATTTTGCATTTTGGGTAACCTATAACAACCTCTACAAACACAACATCATGGCTGTGGCTTTTGAAACCGTCGATGTTATCCTGACTGAAGAGCAGGCTGAACATATGAATGTACGACATGTGGACCAGCATCAACACATGAAAACCAGCAAGTTCTTCCTATCGTTCAACCTAAAAGCCACTCTGGGCTTGTTATCGTGTAGAACTTGGGAAGAAAGAGAAGACGTCACTGCTGGATCACGCATGAAAACAGGGTCATGGATACTGTTATATACACTCATTTGATGTGATAAATACATCGGGAAAGACCCTCGCGACTTTCCATGTAATGAGATTGGTATTTATTATTCACATAATACTGCAATCTCGAGCAAGTTCAGGATAATTACTGCCCATCCGTTTACAAAGTCTTACAAGATCAGTACTCAGCCGATGAATCTTCAGTTGCACATACCTTGGCCACTGGTTTTCATTAACGTATTCATTTTCAAAATTCTTTTAAGAATAGTTTTTCAATACAAGAAGTTCACACCAGGCGACAAGTTGCAGCAACACGTTGCAGCGATATGTCACAGCGACAAATTGCTCCATGTGTAATGGCCAATTTTTGTAAAAAATTTTGTCCATTGAGTTAATTACACTTTTGGTCTAACAAATCTGTACCTGTCTGAAAGGCAACCACTTTACACAGCAGCACATTGTTTTTCTGGCAGAATCCCCATTTCGCTGCAATAAGGACATCGAGCTTACTTAACTTTGTAATTGAATACAGACATTTTTCTACTGCTTTTTAGTCCCACATGAAGCAATGATTAAAGATAATCCACAAGTCATGATTAAAGACAACCCATGCACAGTAAAAAAAGCCACTACCCAAGAATGCCAACAAGATAGTTCCGTGAGAGCAGTGGAGTAGCTTCTGAAGCACAACAACAGGTTTGCGCACTGCTACAATTGCACAGTTTGTAGGAAGGCCTTCAACTGTCCTTTGCTGCTAAAAGTCTATTTTCAAATAAACATGCAGCCATTTAAGTGCAGATTATGTGGGAAAGGCTTCAGCCGTGTCTGGATCCTAAAAGGCCACATTCGAAGGCACACATGAAAAGCCCTTTCAATGCCAAACATGTGGAGGAGCATTTGCTGAGCACTCAAATTTGACACAGCATTCGTCTTTGCTTTAATGATTTGTCCAATTAATATTCCGTGGTTATACTACTATCACATGGCAGAAACTGATTTCTGTTACTCTAAACAACATGAGGTTATTTTATGTATTTCGCATTTTGGGTAACCTATTAGAACATTTCGTTGTTTGTTAGAAGAGGTTAGTTACATCTTCTATGATTCGATTATCAAGGTTCAAGTTTCACTCCAAGATTTGGTTCCAAAACTAGACAAAAACGCTTAAACAACATGCCTTCCACGGACATCACAAACACGCCGTGCATGCCTTCAGGTTATCACTGACATTTACCCACCGTCCTTTCTTACCACTCTTTGACAAAAATGGCCTCGCATTCATTAAACTCCTCCAAAGAACAGTTTCAGGCCTCCAAGATCAAGTTCCAGGATCAGTACTTAGCCAATGAATCTTCAGGTGCACATAACTTGGCCAGTACTGTTCATTAACGTACTCATTTTTTTACATCCTTAAAGAATAGTTTTTCAGTGCGAGAAGTTCTCTACGCAACAAGTTGCAGCAACATGTTGCGGCGATATGTCACAGCAACAAATCACTCCATCTGTAATGGCCCATTTTTGTAAAAATTTTGTCCTCGCAACAAGACTGAACTTGTGCGACTTGTTTGGTTATGTCTCGTGTGATTCCTTTACCAAAGTTTTAGTTTCAATCCCAGGTTTGTTTCCAAAACTGGCACGGCAGGGGGCAGAAAAGCTTACAAAATATGCCTTCCACAGATATCCCAAACACACCAATACATCCGCCCATGCATCCCTTCAGATCATCCCTTCAAATCAGCCCTTACATGCAACCTAACGGTCGTCCAAAAACAAAAAACAAAATTGTGAACATATTAACAAAGCTGGTTCCAAAAACAGCAAGCCAGGTGGCGGAGAAGCTTAAACAATAAGCCCTCCACGGATGTCACAAACATGCCAATGCATCCCTTTAGATTATCCCTGACATTTACGCACACTCCTTTCTTACCATTCTTTGACAACATGGCCTTGCATTTATTTAACTCCTCTGAAGAACACTTCCAGGCCTCCAGGATCATGTTCCAGAATCAGTACTGAGCTGATGAATTTTCAGTTGCACATACCCTGGCCAGTGGTTTTCATTAACATGTTCATTATTTAAAACGCAAAAAGGCCAGATACAAATTATTTACAATTAACATATTTAGACCTTGCTTTATTTCATGTTCTGCACACGTTCTTTACATGGTATAAAATCGACTACAAACTTTGTAAACATCTTTCAACATCTCAGATAATATGCTTTTGCAACACTTATATAAGTTTTCTTGTTGCTGTAGTTTTTGTCATATGTCTTAGAATGATTATCACTATAATTCTCATTAATATTTTTCCTTCCTTATCTTTTTTTTCATAAAATGTCATATATAATAATTTCTGCACCTTTGACAATTCCTCTGATCATTTTCTGTTACCTTTTTGTTATTATTGATTTTAACAAATGCAATTTTTTCTCCCTTTAGTACGCTATGGCCAACAACTCCAACTTTTATGCGCTGGCATTGCACCTCCCTAATTGTTTTAAAAAGTTTAGTAAGTCTTTTTCTTGTGCCCCATCTCTTTTACTGGTTGCCTATGCAACTCTTAATAGTTTCTGGTTACTTTGTCTTTTCCTCTGAAATCCTTTAACGATTTAACGATTACTATTCCACAGTTATACTACTATCATATGAAAGAAACTGATTTTTATTACTTTAAGCAACATGATGTTATTTTTGTATTTCGCATTTTGAGGTTAGTTATGTCTTGTGTGATTCCTTTATTAACGTTTTATTTTCAATCCCAGATTTGGTTCAAAAACTGGCGTTGCAGATGGCGCAAAAACATGCGAACCCCTACCAATGACACGCCTATGCAGCCGCCCAAACAGTCACCCGAGGAGCAATTATTCATACAGCCCACTATGCAACAGCTAATGCAGCAGCACAATATACAACAGCTAATACAGCAGCCCATGCAGCCGCCAACAGACCAAATCATGTAGGAGCCCACTATGCAACAGCTAATTCAAGTCATGCAGCAGCCCACTATGCAACAGCTAATTTCATTGATCGTTAACGAATAAAGAAGCAAATTTTCTTTCTCAGTTTTACTTAAAATATCCCCAAATACAATAGAGACAGTACCTACACTCCTTTTTTCTATAAGAACATATTTTATAAGAATATTGAGGCTGAAATATTTAAAATTTTAACAATTTTTAAGAATAAACGGCTGAGGCTGAAGTTTCTTCATACACGAAATCCTCAATTGCATTGTTTATAGTAGCTTCAATGTCCACGTGATTCCATAACAGATGTCTCTATCCCTCCATATCCCATTCCTCATCAATGTCACCAGTGCTTGAGTGTTAACAGAAGGTGTCATAATCGACCAATAAGACGGTATACTACAATCTCTGGCTTTCACATGTTCGATTGTACCTTACAATGAACTTGCTTCAATGTCTGCATGTAGAGACAAGTTCGTTGCGCTTGTTCAGTGTTGCCATGTGAGGCCTACAGATTAAAAAGAACTTCTCTGTTGTACATAGATTGCAACGTTTTGCGAGGTTGGTGTGAGATTTTGCTTTGGCGAGTATTTTCCACGTGATATTAAATTCCTTATTTGCCTCCTTTAGTTGCCACAGGTGCTTGCTCAGCTCAGTCTCATTCCTTCAATTTTACCCCTCAATTACCGAAGCCCTCCTAAACCGCGCCCTTGACTTTGCCCGACTATGAAAGCTTGATTTAATAAATTGACCTTATGATTTTTGTTACCATTGATATGATTAATGATTTGAAGCTTTTTTCTTAGAACCGAACACAATAGAAAACCTAATGAGCTCTACTACTTAAGAAGATGGTCTTTGACCAAGACCAAAATTTTCCTGTGTTAATAGTACATTTAGTTTGTCGTCCTATATACTTTTTTCCAGTCTATTTACCCTTGCTAAATAGGGATAAGAGCCTGGACCTATAGTGTACCACCAATTTACAATCCTCTCTTTGGGATTCGTGACTCCCCTGTTATGCAGCCTATTCACCTCACATCACAACACTTATGAAGTTTGAGATATTCTGATGAAATATTTTTGTTCCTTTTGCTCCGAGCTTTGGAACTTTCTGTACTGAAAGTTTATTGCCATTATCATATTTAGCCACTTTATACAGCAGCACATTGTTTTTCTGGCAGAATCCCCATTTCGCTGCAATAAGGACATTGAGCTCACTTAACTTTGTAATTGAATAGACATTTTTCTACTGCTTTTTAGTCCCACATGAAGCAATGATTAAAGATAATCCACAAGTCATGATTAAAGACAACCCATGCACGGTAAAAAAAGCCTCTATCCAAGAATGCCAACAAGAAAGTTCCGTGAGAGCAGTGGAGTAGCTTCTCAAGCACAACAACAGGTTCGCACACTGCTACAATTGCACAGTTTGTAGGAAGGCCTTCAACTAATAGTCCATTTTCGAATACACACGCGTCCATTTAAGTGCGGATTTTGTGGGAAAGGCTTCAGCCGTGTCTGGATCCGAAAAAGCAACATTCAAAGGCACACGTGAAAAGCCCTTTCGATGTCAAACATGTGGAGGACCATTTGCTGAGCACTCAAATTTGAGACAGCATTCTTCTTCTTCTGTAATGCTTTAATGATTTGTCCAATTACTATTCTGCAGTTATACTACTACCACATGGCAGAAACTCATTTCTGTTATTCTAAGCAACATGATGTCACTTCATGTATTTCACATTTTGGGTAACCTATTAGCACATTTATTTGTTAGAAGAGTTTGGTTACATCTTCTGTGATTCGATTACTAACGTTCAAGTTTCACTCCTAGATTTGGTTCCAAAACTGGCAGAAAAGCTTAAACAACATGCCTTCCACGGACATCACAAACACCCGGATGCATCCCTTCAGGTCATCACTGACATTTACCCACTGTCCTTTCTTACCACTCTTTTGACAAAAATAGCCTTGCATTCTTTAAACTCCTCCAAAGAACAGTTTCAGGCCTCCAGGATCATGTTCCAGGATCACTACATAGCCGATGAATCTTCAGTTGCACATACCTTGTCCAGTGCTTTTCATTAACATACTTTTCACAGCATTAAATCACTCCATCTGTAATGGCCTATTTTTGTAAAAATTTTGTCCTCGCAACAAGACTGAATTTGTGCGACTTGTTTGGTTATGTCTCGTGTGATTCCTTTACCAAGGTTTTAGTTTCAATCCCAGGTTTGTTTCCAAAACTGGCATGCCAGGGGGCAGAAAAGCTTACAAAATATGCCTTGAAAAGATGTCCCAAACACACCGATACATCCGCCCATGCATCCCTTCAGATCATCCCTTCAAATCAGCCCTTACATGCAACCTAACGGTCGTCCAAAAACAAAAAACAAAATTGTGAACATATTAACAAAGCTGGTTCCAAAAACAGCAAGCCAGGTGGCGGAAAAGCTTAAACAATAAGCCTTCCACGGATGTCACATACATGCCAATGCATCCCTTTAGATTATCCCTGACATTTACGCACACTCCTTTCTTACCATTCTTTGACAACATGGCCTTGCATTTATTTAACTCCTCTGAAGAACACTTCCAGGCCTCCAGGATCATGTTCCAGAATCAGTACTGAGCCGATGAATTTTCAGTTGCACATACCCTGGCCAGTGGTTTTCCTTAACATGTTCATTATTTAAAACGCAAAA